GGATTACCAACAGGAATCTACACATCTAATCATAACAGACATAAGATGAGATTCTGTCTGTTTTATCATTAAATTATAAAATTGAAATTAAATAATGTATGAGATGATGGAGAAGATTTTTAGCTCAGGTGGATGATTTCGATGGCGTTTTGTTCTCTGAGCTGAATGGTTTAGTTTTGGAGCTTTCATCGTTCTTCTGAACGACATCATCAGCACAAACTTCAGATAGAAGTGAAGTGTTCGAATTTCTCCACATGTAGTTAATAATGTATTATTACGATAAAATAATATTTACAATTTAGATGTAATAATTATGGATACAGAGGTTTCTACCACTTCTGTGGTTATAGATATACCATTCTACCTAAAACCAAGTAGTATGTAATTTGAATGTACGGAACTCTAACAGTTTTCTCAATGACGGAGGTATCTAAAATGCAACATACACTTTTGTTCTTGATTAACTCGAGTTATATTGTCGAAAGTTCAAATTACTCTCTTTTTATTTATCATTATTAATAAAGTAATATACGTCACATTGAAAATTAGGCTTTGGAAATGATTAAAAGAAAACAGTAAATACTTTACATTCATACCATATTTCTAATGTTCTTTGATAGAACAGACCCTAGATTTATATTATTGTTTATATTGGCATAGATTTCAAAACAAATCAATGCATACTATATATATAATTAAGTTATATACTAACTAATTATTAGAATAGTTTTAAGAAACTCAGTGAATATGAATACATATAATGAAGATGCTTAAAAAACTCTTTCTATTTTTAGATTTCCCTATACATTTTACCTTTGAGATGGTGAAGATTTTTAGCTCAGGTGGATGATTTTGATGGAGTTTTGTTCTTTGAGCTGGATAGTTTGGTTGTGGAGCTTTCATTGTTCTTCTGGACGACTTCTATCTGAAGTTTGTGCTGATGATGTCGTTCAGAAGAACGATGAAAGCTCCACGACCAAACCATCCAGCTCAGAGAACAAAACTCCAACATTTTACCTTTTTTTTAGTAACCGTCTTTGTTGATTACATGAAAATATACCGAGAAATTTGTAAGTTCCAATATTTTATTATTGTATAGTTCATAAAATTTAAAACTGAATAACATCTAGAATTCAAAACAATTGTCAACCAACACCAAAGTCAGAATTTTCAATACAAATGTCAAGACAGTTCTGCTGTATGGGGCAGAAACCTGGAGAACTACGAAAGCCATCATTCAGAAGATACAAGTGTTTATTAACAGCTGTCTGTGCTAAATACTTCTGACCTGTTGGCCAGACAATATCAGCAAAAACCTACTATGGGAGAGAACACACCAGATCCCAGTGGACCAAGAAATCAGGAAGAAGCGATGGAAGTGGATAGGACACACATTGAGGGAAGCACCCAACTGTGTCATAAGGCGAGCACTCACATGAAATCCTCAATGCCAAGAGAAAAGTGGAAGAACAAAGAACACATTACGTCGGGAAATGGAGATAGACATGAGAAGAATGAACAAAAAATTGGATGGAACTAGAAAAGAAGGCCATGACAGAGTGGGTTGTAGAATTCTGGTCGGCGGCCTATGTTCCATTGGGAGTAACAGGCGTAAGTAAGTAATAATTCATAAAGGTGAAGAGTGGAACTTTGAAATTTAAATATCCAAGCTTATTGAAACACTATAAGTTATATAAATTGTTGTAGAGACCAGGAAACTCCTCGAAAAAACCCAAGAAATGTTCTGAAAACCCTAAGAAGCAAATTATCCAATCAGCGTTCAGTAAAATTTTTGCCAAAAACATCTAGAAAGTGGAAAGTCGCATGTCGAGTTTCTGATTGGATAATTAATTATACTAATACTATGTTTAGTAGCATTCCAAAATTTCAGGAAACCCAAAGACATCTAAAATATTATAAAACCCCTAAATCTTCTGTCCATAAAGTAACTTTTAGAGCAAAGCGTTTCTTCCATATCTCGCGCCTCTTCTCTTCTGTTCAAGTCGTTGTGTCGATTTAGCCTGGCGGTTACTGAAAGAGATTAGGAACAAAATCTAGCGTTCAATTAAAAGACTTTTCATAACTCGAGATCAATTAGCGTGTAAAGTATCTTGTTATAGATACAATTGAACAGAAGAGAAAATTTATTGATCGGTTCGTAATGTTGATTTTTGTTCTTTACTTGTTGTTTTTTTATTCGTTATATCATACTATCTTTGTGGAGTATTTTATTTATGTGTATAAAAGATTTAAGTCTCAAATGTATGTAGATAAACAATTGATTCAATAGTTCTGGCACTGAATATCACTTCATTTATAATTTGACAATCAGTTCCGTGAAAAAAGTGCTCATTTAAATCATTCCAGTAATTTTATTAGTCAATAGTTTTATTATAACAGTTACTTTTTCTTTTCTTATTAATTTTATATATTTTAATATATATATATATATATATATATATATATATATATTTCAATGGTTGAGATCATGAGTCAATTGAAGTTAGACCATCATGGAAAACCTAGAAGCACTGGATGGCTGTTTCGTCCCATTGTGGGAATCCTCAGTAGTGTGCATCCAGGACTTCGCCCCACAAAATTCGAACCCAGGACATATCAGTCTCGCGCGCGAGTGCTTAACCATTAAACCACTGAGCCGGCGGGCATCCAACAGTGCTGACGTCTAACTCCAACCAATCTATGAAATTAAGCGAAAAATCCACCAATGTCTTCAGTGAGTTACTATGTCACAACAGACCGGGGTGTGGTATCAAAACTTATGACAGATTAAATGAATACACTTCCAAGGAGGAACCTACGTTACTCTATCTGAAGTGTAATCAATTAACAATAATTTTCATTTATTGTATTAAATATTTCATGAATTATAATCTTCTGAGTATATACACGATTTGAAGGTAGTTTTCATGATTCAAAATTGCCATAGTCATCCACAAATACCCAACAAACCTGATGATATTTATCTTGTTTATTCCGACAAAGTGAATGTCACATACAAAAAGTCAAACCTTGTTTCATTAATTCAAAGTCAGTTCAATTGCAATGTACCTGTATGTAGAACGTAGCCACCTGATGATCCTAATGGGTATGAAACATGTACAGATGTCCCGTTCAAATGCTTTGGAGACAAAGAGAACCTATATAAATTACATGCTTTGTTACTGACAAGTCAAAATCTAAAATATGCTTATTCGTATTGTGAACAGAATAGTGACATCGTATTTCTTTCGTATGAAAGGTGAGAAAAATTACCATGTATAATATTACTCATACAAGTCAAGATCATATAAAAGGATCTTTCAACCTTTATGTACACCGACTTTCTCCAATACGCATATATAATGAAGGTGTGAGTAGTGTTAAGACAGTTCAGGTCAACAAAGTCACATTATTTGTAACGTGGGTACATGAAGACCTAACATTGTTTCGTGGAGGAGGGAGAATCATATATGCATTAAACAAAGGAGCAGAGCATAGTTGTTAAAAGATTAAGTCGCTTTTTTTCAAAGGAAGCTGAAAAAAACAAACTGGAAGCGGGAACACGACCATACAACCGGTCAAGATCCCAGCAAGTACGTAAAAGAACAACAAGCTTTTGCATAGACACTTATTCTTACGTATCTCATCGAAAAACAATTTTACATTCTTTTACTCATTGTGTTTTTATTCAGCATTACTTCCGTTTTAATTCAATGTGTTAATTACTCAGTGTGGTATTTACTTTGTTTCCCATTGTGGTATTTTATTAGTTATATCATTAATTTATTTGAGTTTGGTGTTTGTCCATGATACAATATTCTTGTATTAAATTAACATGATCTATGCCCAGAATGACATGTAGTATGTGACTTGTTATAACTCTTGAAGATGGCACAGGTATTCAGTGTTTGACAACGCTTTTACCAGCAACACCTAATATAATTTGTACCCACCAAGAGAAATCAAAAGACAGAGTCGAGGAGATCGGAAGAGTGTATTTGGCGATTACCAATATATCGGAATTCTCTGATCTAATCTGGCTAGTGATTGCGGTAGATGTTGAGCACAGCGTTACCACACGTGATCTGGTGCGGATGCATGACCGAGCGCCTTCAGCTAGGTGAGTCCATTAAAACATGTGGTCAGCATCCAATGTCGAAAAATTGCAGAACTATTTATTTTGGGGAATTATTTACCGATACACTCTGAGTATTTTTCACATTTATGACTTCATCCTAAGTTAATGATCAAAATGGGTATACAATCAATATATACTTACTCGCGTCATGAGAATTACAGTGATTCCTCGTTCTTTTTTTTAACTATAAGTAACAAGCGATTAAGACATAACAATATTCTGAGTTGAAATTCATTTTATTCGATTACTGAACTTATTTACCCCTCCCCCCCTCATAATTAAACAATGGCTTCATGTTTAAACCATACATCTTTCAATCACTAAGTCACTAGGTTAAAACTCAGCCCCACCTATTTTAGTATGAATGTCAGAGTAATAATATTAATAGTTAGAGTATAGTTTAAAAACTGAGGACATACACTTGAAATTGATCAATGACTTGAATTATAAATTACAAAGAGTTACCTTTATCATTTAAAAAAAAAATTTATTTCAACACTTATACAACAGTTTTCCATAGTTCCCTATGCTAACATTCATGGTTAATGTTATTCGAAAGAATATATAATCCATACATAACATTAGCTAATTTGTCATATTGCAATATAAGTAATAAAGAAAGCATACTAGTGTTAGGTACACAAGTTCTATATTACCAATAAAATATAATGAATAAGTAAATTGTAAGATATCGAAGGTAGTAACAATAACAAATGAAAGAAAGAAAGAAAGAGAGAAAGAAGGTAAACAATTTACAAATCCAATGTTTGAAATGCAATCACATGATATGATGCATATTGAGCATTAGAGAATCGTCCAATTAAATGTGTTACAGCACAACCAGCTTTATATGGACCAACAATTACATGCCAATTACGACCATATTCTTTTCTAATGCTATTGCTATAAATTGTGGTATTGTTTGAATATCAATTTGTTTTTTAATAGCTATTTCAATTAATTGATTTAATTTCTCTTTAATTTTTTCATCTGAATATTCTATAAGTAATGGTTCATCATTTAGTTGCCATGAATTATCAACTTTTGATCTATGATAATCTGATGGTACATTATCAGTAGAATAACTACGTTTATGCATTGATAAATTTTCTGTAGATGTTAATGATGATTGTGAATAACGTGTAATATCTTCAGTTGAACGAAATTTTGCTGCAGCTTGATGAAAAACATCACTGGATGATTCAAATTTTCCATTAAGTCGTCGATTATATCTTTCACTAAAATTTAGGGAAACGAAAAAAAAATGTCGGTAATATTGTTGTGTTTAATATGTTTTAGGTATATAGTTTATAGTTTAGTAGAAATAGTAATCCGTTTGTTAATATTATTAATATTTGAATCATGCGAGGTGAGATCATAGATGCGCACTGCTGAGGAGTCCTACAGTAGGATGAAACGGCCGTTCAGTGGCTTCAGGTTTTCCATGGTGGTCTAGCTTCAATTGATTCATGATCTCAACTATTAAAATATTAAACTTATTTACAATATACAAATAAAATTACTTTTGGTGGAAGGGTATTTCACTCATAATAATGATTTCTAAAAAAAACATATATGAAGAAAACATCAATAATAACCCATATTCATATCTATTGCCTACGCATTTAGATCTTAAATTGATGAAGATTTCCAGGTTAAATGAATACTTTTGATGATGTTATATTCTCTGAGTGTCTACTTTATATAGCAGACATTGATGATATTGTCCAGAATGAAAATGAGCATTTTACAATTAAATCATTCAGGTTAGAGAAACCAACACCACATAAAAAGATTTATTCTTATCATCTTATTACTTTGATTCAGTTTATATTTGGTTATCATAATCTTGAATTATTTGATTTTAGTATATGACTACCCAACTCCGCCTGGAGTCCCTCTGGGGGCTAATACCGGTCCCAAGCCCGGATAAAGGAGGAGGGTTGGGCATGGGGTTAGTGACCCCATCCCGTAGAAAACTAACTCGCTAAAAAAAACGCTAATCGGAAAAAAATTATTCAAGCCTTTTAAACCCTGCCCTGGGAGTTAGAAGGTCTTCATTTAGAAGAGTTATGACGCCTCATGATGAAAACCGATTTCCTTCGGAAGTCACGAGGCCGTTGCCCCTTCTGACAACCAGAGCAACTATTTATTTAGGTACATGGAATATGACTACCCATCAATGAGTCTCTGTTATCTGAGTGTTTGACTAAAATGTAACTTAGATTATGTTTCTAAATTCTCAATGAATTAAATGATCTTTTTAATGTAAATCAATATGGAGTGGAAAATCAACGATAACTGTGATTTACCGAAATGCTAAAACTTATCGTTCTCATCGAAACTGTACTAAAAATTACTTTTATTATGATTATTATTAGCAGCTATATTCAATATTATATTTTTGGTACAATATAGAATTCTCAGCACAAAGTATTCCAACAAATTCCCTTTTCTTATTTCTTGATTGATCCTCATGATAAATATTGAGTAGTTGCCAGTTAGATGTTAGCAGTTCAGGAATCGACATTTGTATAATGTATATTCTTCTCGGTGCATATTACTAGTAACCACGGTGTCTCTGGATAGTTTTTCTGTAACTTACACAGCGAAATGTCGTAAAATTTACTTGTTATCATTTCGTGAATTCAATTCACTTTCTTTTTATACCTCTATTTTGAAAACAAAGTGACCCGATAAGAGGTATTTTTATTCTACCTATTGTTCACTGATTCAAAAACACATCAAAAACTGAAATAGAAGCACAGTATTCACCTTAAAATTTTACCGAAATCAGCTCCTATATTCTTATTAATGTTAATCAGAAAAAAATCTGTTTACAGGGACGTTTTAGTTCTACACCGCACTTAAATATTAATACATTGAGGTAATATATTGATCATCTTATTTTTAAAAAGATCAACAGATTGATTTCTAGTGTATAGGGATCCGTGGGGATTATGGCGCCCACAAGTGAGATTGAAGGTCTTCAGTCTGATTACTGTGGGCGGAACCTTGAGTGAAAACTGATGGAGATCCCTACAATAAAACAAAACGGTCGTCCAGTGTTTCCAATTTTTCAACAGTGGTTCGAATGGAATCGGTTCGTGATTTAACTCATAGGGCATTCATTTTTGTTGTTATCACTGTAGGACTCTGAATGTATATAAAAATTTAGTGTTTGAGTAATGTGAGTTTAACGCCAAATTTCTGTGAACGATAAATAACATAAAATCTATGGTACAAAAAACCACAAGTAAATATAAGTAAATGTTTCTATCTTTAGTAATACCATTTTGTACAGAAGAATCATCGCGATCTCCACCCCGGATACGATTAATATCCACCAAGACTTCACTAGGATATGACTTGTATTCTACAGAATATTCTATAGAATTCAACATTGATTTATATAGTAACATGCCTATTTAATTGCATCTTAATGGTTCAAAGGTAATGCGTTTGGCGAGAGGACTGAATGTGAGTACTTCCTTCATAATAATAAAACAGTGTTTGTCTGACGCTCCAAGGTTTTCATCATAGAGTTAAAGTTATTTCGTGATGTTTACTGTAGATAGTTCTTAAGAATATAATAATAAACCTTTGGATGAGAATATAAACAACTTTTATGAAAATAACTAATTTCACTAAATCTTGTTCTATGTTATTTTGAGGTAAATTTTCCGTCAAAATGAAACTAACCCTTAAAGAAAGTAACAGCCCGAATCAACAAAATATGAGTTTAATAATAAGCTTTCATTTTGAAATACATTACTATGAAGAAAGCTAACAATCAAAGATAGCAACATTTTGTCGGCATTAAAGAAAATTGGAAAGAATTTCTGCAACTACTAACAGAATTCAGTAGTTCAAATCAGACATCTGTTACTATCTTTTTTTATTTAACAGGACAATTATTTATAATAAGCAATACAAACACGTTCCAGTTTAAATTAATGGGTATTATTAACGAACTTTTATTCCAGAGCGCATTCAATTAATAGATGTAATTATCTTAAGAAATGGATGATATCGCTTTCATCTACCATTATTATAATGCCGTTAAGATTACGAATCAGTTTAAGACAATTATTAAAAACGTGGTAACAATGCACAGTTGTTTTAGCTCCATCACAGAGAATAGAACCCACGATCGTTAGCCTAATACACTAATGTTTAACTTTTTGACCACTGAGCCGGTATCTGATATTGTACCAGTCTAAATTCAATATATCCGCCATATTGCGTAGTCATCTTCCATTGTCTTCTTTGAGTACTTTTCTCACACTGAACATATAATGTATAATAACCTCTAAGAAACCCAGGAAAATGTATGGAAAACCGCTTACATTTACGGTCTGAAAATTCAAATAGAAATCTAGTACTCATTCAAAGTGATTGACATGCAATGAGTATAAAAGTTTAATTGAGGTCATAAATCGATCGACGTTAGACCATCATTAAAAACCTGGAAGCACCGGGCAGCGATTTAGTCTTGGGTTTGAATCCCGCCTGCGGAACTGTGGATATGCACTATTGAGGAGTCCCATACCAAGACGAAATAGCCATCCAATGCTTCCAGGTTTTCAATGGTGATTCAACATTGATCGATTCATGATTTCGACCAAAACTTAACAGTCTCCACAACCCTGTACTGATATAAAATTTTATACAAGCAGATCCCTTGAAAAATTTAAACAGATCAAGAACAAATAGGTTTACAGAATAAAATGAATTGATTATATTTCACGGTTTCTCATCAGTTTATCATACTTTAGTTTGTGAAGTTTAAATACATCTTACGAATGTAACTAAATTCATAATAATAAAAATAATAGGGAAATAAAGTGTATGAATAAACATAGTTCAGATGGATGAGTATTTTTATACTGAAACGTAATAATTTAGAGGTTATATAAAGATAATAGAATGAATTCATTTTATCCCACAAACTTTATTGTTCGTTCTTTGTTTAAATATAAAATTGTAATCAGAGAGGGGTTCTGTGGATATTACAGTAATTTAACAGCTAAATTCATGAGTTCATTGAAGTTAGACCATCATGGAAAACCTGGAAGTACTGGAGGTCTGTTTTGTCCCTGTGTGGGACTCCTCAGCAGTGCGCATCTACGATCGCACCTCATGAGATAGTAACTCACTGATGACAATGGTGGATGGTGGTGCAATTTCGTGGATTAGTTGAAGTTAGACATTAACACTGTTGAATGCCGGCCGGTTCAGCGGTCTAGTGGTTAAGTGCTCTCACGCGAGACTGACAGGTCCTGGGTTCGAATTCTGCGAGCCGGGATCGTGAATAAGTACTACTAAGGAGTTTTATACAAGGATGAAACAGCCATCCAGTGCTTCCAGGTTTTCCATGGTGGTCTAACTTCAATTAATTCATGAATTCAACTATTAAATTAAAATAAAATTTCTATTAAAATGTTTTATTTTTACTGAAATTCAATACAGTAAGAACATTGTGAAAAACTATACGTAAAAAAACAAGATCAGCTGATGATAGAAAGACCTTAACCATACAACTGGTTGTTTTTATTCTCATCACTATTGGCTAGACAGTACAATGACGTTCATCTTTATTGGAATATCATGCGTAGTTTTAGTAAAAATAGGTTAGTTTTTCTTTTTATTATTATTTATAATTTAGTCATATGATTTGGCATAACATTTAAATGAAAGATACATGTGAAATTCTCCTTATATAGATTTCATTCATAATATCGGAGGAAAACAAAATCATAAGGGGAACACAAAACTATTTTTTCAAGTAAAAGGTAGATTTTTAACTTTGTTGGAGGATTTTGTTGAAGTTTTGATACTTTTTTCTAGGTAGATTGTTTGATAGAGAATTATGTACTGCTGAGGAGTCTCATACTAGGACGAAATGGCCGTCCAATGGTTCCGATTTTTCCATGGTGATCTAGCTTCAATCGACTGATGAATTCAACTATTAAAAATATGTATTGTCTTATTTAAAATCGAAGTCAATAAATAGTTTATAAAATTGAAAATATTTAGTGGAATTTATGATTGAATATCTCTATTCGTTAATGAATAACTTGAATCATATTTTGGAAGATTAAAAAGTGACTATAAAATATATCACTTTAAATTCTTACTACTTTCAATCTAGGACACAGTTTCTAAGTCCGCCTGGAGTCCCTCTGGGGCTAATACCGGTTCCAAGCCCAGATATAGGGGCGTGGATATGGCATTA